GGACTTGCCCTGGGACACACAGCCAGAATGCAGAATCCAGGTCTTGCTGACTCCAAAGTTGATGCTCTTTTTCCTAAGCTGGTGGTTCCTAAACCTTTTGGGGCCCATGATCTCCTAGAAAATCTGATGAAAACAAAAGATTCTCTTGCCAGACACAAACATAGACACAAACGCAATCACCAGGCGTTCCCAGTCCCTCTGAGGCCAGCCATACTGGAAGAGAAAGTTCCATGGATTCTTAGTTAAAAAACAATCCCCATCTTACATCTTGCTGTATTCTACAGTGTGTTCTTTTGTTTTTAAGGGATTATCATGTTTCTTTGGAAAACAGTGCTGAAAAATGCCATGAGGAATTCAGATTCTTTGGCTCCAAACTCTCAGGCCACTTCCTGGTCCACACAGGTGAGGCCAGCAGGGAGGTCTGACACTCCGCTGTGCTTGGCCTTGACCCCTGTGGATGGGTCATATCCAGGACCGTATCAGCATCCTCTCCAACCCGGGCACTGTTTCTCAGGACTGCTCCTGCCCCCAGGAAAACACAACCCCTACCCCTGGCAACATGCCCTGACATGGTCGTAGGTCACCATACATGCTGGACATTCTCTGTCTGGTCCCTCCACATCCATCCTCTGTTCTGCTCATCCCCAGAAGGCTGACCCTACCGAATGTGTCACAGGGACAATCTGGGCCTGTGGCCGACAGGTGGGATGGCCTGACGGGAGGCTGCAGCCGGAGAGCAGAGGGCCGCAGGAGAGAGAGCTGCAGCTGTTCTGTCCCTAGCCCCTTCTTCATGCCTTGATGCTGTCCTCTGGCACTGTCCCTCCACACTGCAGTGCCCACTGGTAGCTGCTCCTAGGCTCCTGTCCTCACTGGAACCCAGGAACATCACTTCCTCCCCTGCCCTTTCAGCCCCTGGGGCGGTAAGAGCTCTGATGCTGCTCCCCTCTGGGAGCCCCAGCATCCTGCTGCTCCGTTGGCACTGCCTATACCCCTGTAAGCTGCCATTGCATGACAGGGTCTTTCTATGAGGCTCCTGTGTGAATTCTCTTCCCTCCTGGGGCCTTGGCCCATCTCCCGTGGCACTGGGGGAGGGTCCCTAAGTGCTCATCTTTTGACACTCTTAGGGAGCCCAGAGCCAATGTCCCCTTCCAGAACCTGGGAGGGCAGTGCTTTTCCAGAGGGACTCAGAGGGGTGGAAACACGTGGCTCTGACACTCAAGCCCACCCTCAGGGGCCTTATCTCATCTATGCATGTCAGCTTCCTTATCTGTACAATGGGAACAACGAAATACGCACACGACAGGGCCTTCCACAAGCATATGCTGTGCCAATCCTGAAGGGCCAGCAGTGCTTGTCATTATGATTCGTTATTCATTCTCTCAATTTCTGAAGCAACCCTGCAGATCTTAGGTTCATGGTCTGGGTGAGTCAGAGGGCCAAAGTTATGCAGTCAGTAAACACTCACATACCCCAGGTTAACGAGGGCCTGGGACTTTTTCTTTTTCTCTTTTTTTTTGAGACAGAGTGTCGATCTGCCACCCAGGCTGGAGTGCAGTGGTGTGATCTTGGCTCACTGTAACCTCCACCTCCCGGGTTCAAGTGATTCTCCTGCCTCAGCCTCCCAAGCAGCTGGGACTATAGGCATGTACCTCCAAGTCCGGCTAATTTATTTTGTATTTTAAGTAGAGATGGGGTTTCACCATGTTGGTCAGGACGGTCTCAAATTCCTGACCTCAAGTGATCCACTCACCTCGGCCTCACAAAGTGCTGGGATTACAGGCCGGAGCCACTGCGCATGGCCAGTAGTTTTTTGTGTGACGTTAGATAGTATAACATAGTTGGGGCCGGTAAGTGGGGTGGGAGGCTCTACAGCCGGTCTGGAGTTCACGTCCGAGCCCTGCCACTTCCTCGCTTAGACACAGCACTGCCTACAGCTGCCACAGTTGCTGTGAGCACTGAGATGATGCCAGTGTGAGGACGGCTCCCTGATGCACAGTAAGTGCTTAATAAACACTA